CACAGAAAAAAATATTTGATAATATTTAAAATACTCTAGCCATATCCTTTACCACATAAAAACAAATATAGGTACATTTACATATAAGATGAAAGGTCATTTAAAACAGTTCCTATTTGTATATTAGAGTACGTGTAGGAAACCATGTACTTGACAATCTATTAGTAATTGGCACTTTTTTTTGCATGTTAGTAATTGGTTTTGCATGTACTACAAGTAATAATTATATGTTATTTCTTTTCCCCATTCTCCTCAGTATTATGGAAATTACTGTTTTTTATTTACTTACTTATTTATTTTTGTTTAGAAGCCAGAGGGTATGTGTACTCACTAGAGACAAAGAGAGTGAGGGAGAGAGAACCTACAATTCCTTCTTTATTTCTCCAACTTGTCAGGATTTGGGTCATACAAGCAAACATACTTAGTGTGTTTTTCAAGTCACTGGGGTTGGGACCCAAATTGCCATCAGCCATGTGTGATCTGGTCCCCTTAACCACCAGGCCACAGGATTGACCCTCTGCACACTATTTTAAAACACTCCAATCTATATTCAAAGCTCCAATATTTGGTATTCATTTTTTAAAATTAGAAATTCAAATTAATTATGTGTGTTTCAGCAAAACACATATCTCATGTTCCATAAGCAACTCCTTCAAAATTGTCATCTCTGATGCTTCACTAGCATGAAGAAGAGAGGGAGGACTGCGTGGCACCATCTGGCACCTGATACCTGAACAAGTATACCATACTAGTTCATCAACAGGAGAAAGACTTGATGAAAAATATCTCAGTGCCTTTTCAAAAACTGAATTGTATTAGTTTCTAGGGACAGAATCATAATAGCAGTAGGACAGAGACTTACCTTTATTAGTATGATGACTGTAGCTGTCCTTTACCAGAAATTTCTCTTCTAAATTGTCCAAACTTCTCAGTCTGTCCACCCTCCATAGATTGGTCTCATGTACTCCCAAGATTTAAGTTGATTATACACCCAGCAACATCAAAAACACACTCATTCGTTCAAAACCCAGTTATTAGATATCTACTGTGAACACTAGATATTGGAATACAACAATGAGCAAAGCAAAGAAAAATCACAATTGATTACTTAACTGCATGCAGGAAGATAGAAATATAATGGTAAAATATGGTTATGGTTGCATAGTTACAAGTTCTAAAGAGAAAAATATACATATTAGAAAAGAGGAATCAGGATGGAATGTGGAAATCAGGCCAGAGTCCCAGACCAACCCTGAGTTTGAAGTTTCAGGTACATATATCAAAATGTCAAGTATACCTTGGATTGCTACCAGAAACTCAACATGTTCCAAACTGAATGCATCATCCCTATCAACTTTCTTCTGCCACCACCACTGAATTGCTTGAATCAGAAATGTATGAGTCATCCTTGAATTTGTCTTCTCCCTCATTCTCCACATCTCACCTGCCAGCCCATTACCCCACATGACTTCTATCTTCATTGTCACTACCCTAATTCAGACCAACATCATCTTTCACCTATATTCTTGCACTAGCTTCCTAACAGATCCCTTAAAGACATTTCTACCCTCCTTCAATGTGATTAGAACTCACCTGGTCATTCCTCGGCTTCAACCCATGACTGGTCTTCAATTGCCAGTGCCCATCACTTCAGTTGCATCCACAGTCCCACTTACCTTGTTCTCTGGTTTACTGTTCTTTTTTCATTCTTCACTTTGCAGGATATTTGCATATACTATTTCCTTTACTTCAAACATTCTGCCCCAACTTTTCATCAGGCTAGTCTATGGTTCAAATGTTAACAGAAGCATCACTTCATCGGGCAAGCTTTCATCCCAATCCTCAGACTGAGTTATCTGTACTAGTTATGGATTTCATAATTTCTTGTCTTCCCTACTTCATATATTTTACCTGTAATTACCTCCATAATGGCTCTAATAGAAGGTAAACTCCAAGAGGATAAAGACAGTATCTGCCTTTTCAGCACATCATATCCCAGGTTTGTCAAATAATGTTTGACAGAGAGTAGATGCCCACTATATATTTACTGAATAATGAATGAATAGAATAGTAAAGACTAATGACAGATGGTTGATGACTATTTTTACTTTGCATTGATATATTTCATCTGCAGAGATGACTGGTATTAAGAGTACTTATATTTTACCTTTTGTTTGTACATTTGGGATCTTGGCAGATACTCTCCAACAACTGACACATCTCCAAATTCCACATTATTGATCTGATATTTCATCTTCCTAGGCAGCTTCATCAATACAGTCTTCCAGAGAGATGACCAGTGTTGCCTCTGCTATACAAGAAAGGCCCACATTAGGCATAAGTTTTGTAATAGGTAAGAATGTGGTTTTAATTTTATTAGTTACAGTTATTGGTAAGAGATATTCCTGAGTTGTTACTGCATAAAGAAGACACATATTCCTTCATCCTTTCTTATTTTGATTATTGCCTGAGCGTCAAATGCGTTTCCTCCTTAACCTTATCTTAATTCTTTGACATTGTCTCCTCATTTCTTCTCAGGCTAATCTATAATTGTACCAAATTTACATCCATTCAGTCATTCTAGCTTAATGTCACTAAACCTTGTTTGATTTCCTGTCCATGTGTGATTCACTAAAAGATTGTTCATACTTACTAAACACATGCCAACTACTGCACACTTTTATATCATTCTACAACAATCCAGTGGAAGAGATACCATTACTTTTCTTTTTTGTCTAGAAGAGGATATGGAGCTTAGAGAGGTTAGGTCACTACCCAGGTGACAAAGATACTTAAGTGAGCTGGACTTTGAACCCATAGAGTTACCACCAAGTCCTTTGAGCTTTCAATTAGCACTTTGCTATTTTTTATTTGCTGAGATTCAAGGTACTTTCATTTTAACTCTTTGGCCTTTTCTCTGTGACTTTTTACTTTCTTTTTACTCTGTTACTACATAGTAGGCCTTTAATTCATACTGGCTTAATCATTCACCGGGCCATTACTGCTGTTATTCTAGATGGTGACATTATTTGTGATTTGTTCTGCTTACTGAATTTGTGTTCTCTCAACTCAAACCAAAGCGGGCCTGATTAAAAAGGGCTGGGAGTGCTGGGAGCACACTGCGAAACGAAATGGCCACAAACCAGTTTTTCAAGGGGAGACTGTTCTAGGCCTTCATCATTCGATTACCTGGTATTCAAACAGCTTGTGGGATCTTCTGAGTATACTACTGATATTCTGAAATTTCTTTTCCTTTGTTACAGTTGGCTTGGGCAAAAGATTTCCACTCTGTTTAAGAGTAAAGAGAAAGAGAAGAAAATCAACAATTTCCTTAACCATTCTGATGCCTGTAACTACCAACCCAAATAACAGAGATGGGAGACTATGCGTGTGTGTGTGTGTGTGTGTGTGTGGTGGTGGTGGTGGGGGGGGGTGTTTGTGTAGCTTTCGGTGGGTTCCTGTTTGCTTCAGAACCTGGTAGAACGCCACCTGGTAGATCTGCACTACTTGTGGTGCCATTTGTTACCTGTTCCCTAACACGGAAACTCCCTTTGTCCTTAAGGCACACAGTTCTCCCTTCCCCTTTGTCATTCACCCTGGGGGAGCTGTCAGATTACTCCCCGCCCAGCCTTCAGGCCTCCACACTTCCCTGGGAGGGGAGACATTTCCCCGAGCTGCCCTAGAATGACCCTCTGACCAAGGCGGGGGAGGGGAGAGGTTATCAAGAGGGAAGTGGGTCAAGAGTGCAATCCAGACTCTGACCCATGGAGCTGCAGAGACCTGAGTTTGTCTAGCGACTAGCGATGCCCACCACCCATCCTGCCCGCTGGCTATCCCATCTCTCCGCGGAGAGGGCAAGCCCAGCTCTGCGCGACCACTCCTCCTGCAGTGGCCTCTGGCGACTGAGGGCGGACAAAGTCGGGGACTCTGGACTCCAGGCTGTTTAGTCCAGTGGTTAGGGACACTGATTTTTTTTTTTTTTTTTCCAGTCCAATCCTAGTTTCACCTCTCTCCACCTGAGTGACCTTGGGCAAGTTCCTTAGCATCAGTGCACCACCAGTTACTAAAACCATAAAAGAGGGACACCGAAGTGATAGCTAGAAGCTAGGACCGTTGTAAGAATTACTGCAGCGCGCCTAGCACGTAGTAGGCGCTCAGGTAATGATAGCCATGATTAGTAGTAGTACTTAGAGGATAAGCTCTGCGGTCCAGAATGTAGGTTTGACAAGCTCAGGCTTTTCAGCGCTTCACCCAGGCATTGGAGGAGGGGCAGTGAGCACCTGCCCTACCCCTTTCCTCCCCCGTTCCCAGATAGACTGGGGTGTACCGAGAGCCATTCCTCTCGGACTCGGGCTCCTTCAACGGCCCGATGTCCCCAGGCTCGGAGCTGCTCCGGCGCCCGCGGCAAGTCTTCCCCACCAGCGGAGGAACGCTGTCTTTTGTGAACTGAGAATCTCCCTCCTCCCGCTCACCTCCCACCCCAGGCTTGCTGCCTCCTCCGGGTGCCGGTGGCCGTGGCAAGCCCGGCCGTGCCTCCGGCGGGAAGGAAGAGGCAGCCTCAGTGTGTGTGAGTCCCGCCGCCCCTGGGAAGGGAAGAGGACGTGGTGGCACCGAGAACGCGGTGCCCCGGGCAGTCGCGGGCCACTTGCTCATTTTCGCCGCCTTCTAAGGACTGCCAGGCTTATCGCATCCAGAGGCGCAGCCCCCGAATTGCCGGATAACCGCTTCCCCGG